GAGAGAGAGAGAGAGAGAGAGAGAGAGAGAGAGAGGAAAACAGAATCCCAGGCAGTGTTGGCTCTGTCAGTAAAGACCCGGAGTTGGGGGTCCATCTCACCAACTGTGAGATCATGACTAAATCTAGTTGGATGCTCAACCAACTGAGCTACCCTAAGAAATATTTAATAAGCACCTACCATGGGCCAAGTATGTCACATGCTGGGGATACAAAGCTGAAGCTGATAATCTAGTAGAGAAGAATCCTATATAAACCGCTAAAATACAATATTATAAGTGCAAACAAACATCCTAGGAGCACAAATTAGGGTGTAGATATCTTTGCTAAGGAGTAAGTCTTCACCCTTCAGTTGGGTTTGGAAAGCCAAGTTAAACAAGGGGTTGGGTAATGCATTTGTTAATACAAGGAGGGTGGTTCTTGGAAATCTGGTAAGTTCATTCGTGTATCATTATTCTGAGCTAGGAACAGGATGTAAGCAGCCATGGCAGAGCTGAGGAGGATGACAGCCTTATGATGGAACACTGCTGGGATGAATGGCTAGGTCTTGTTGCTGGGCTTTCATCTAGGCCCTTCTTTAGTTCTGCCCCTTCAGCATGGTTAAAGGTACCTAGGGAAAGGCCCCAGCAGCCCCTATGGTCTTCAATACACAGGACAGAATTATATCTGGGATCTTTCCCTCTAAGAAGCAAAGGATGACAGAGTTGGAAAGGATACTGAAAATCACCCAGTTGTTTCTAATTTGCATGCCTCAGAATCTTGGGGTTCTCAAAATAGCAAATGAAAATCTGTAATTAATTTTCGATATTCCAAAAAGCTACCAGAAATCGCACATTTTTTCGTGTTATTAACTGCCAGGTTTCTTTGTTTTGTGATAATTATATCAGATCCACATTAAATGGAGGTTCTTAACTGAGCTGTGTTCAGATTAAATGTTTTCCCATTATTGTTATGCTTAATTTGGTAAATAATTTTTCAAAATACAAGAGAGCATTGTCGAATAAAATTGGTAATATCTGCCACCACGTTTGCAATTTACAAAGCACGGTTCACTGACTTCACGTTACTTTATTCCTCACGATACTGTGAAATAGTTTAACAGCAGAACCCGGACTCCTTGACTCTCAGTTCAGTGCTCTTTTCAACAGCTCAGGGCTTCTGGGTTTTTTCCTTGCGTCCCAGTCTACAGAGCCTTCAAACCGCGACTCGGAAGCACCTGCCGGGCCCTCGCCACTGGGTCACACCGCCCGCCTCTCGGGCGACGGCCACAGCGACCGCTCCCTCTTCAGGTTCAGGAATGCGGCTCTCCCCCAACAGGCGTGGTGCAGCGACTCCGCGCCGGCGCCGTTCCGAGTGTGGAGCAGAGACCCCCGGGCCACCAAGAGGGTCGGCGACCAGAGCGCCTGCGCAGTAGCTTCGAGCGCACTTCTCTCTCCCCCTCGCTTCCAAACCATTTGGCCACCCTACCATTCATTCCTCCCTCCGCAGTCCTTTCACCCTTTAGGACAGCCTGCCCTCCATTCGTCACGAGCAGCACTAGTTGCCGAGGAGCCCGACCGGCTTTGCTAGACCGCCGCCGGGAGCGCGCTGCGCGCGTCCGAGCGGTCCGCGGAGTCGTCTCCGCCGCCGCTCCCGCCCCTTCCGCCTCTCGTGTGCGCGCACGGCCGGCCTTCGGCGCGCCCGGGTTGGCTGCTGCGGGGCCCGCGGTGGTGGCGGCGGCGGTCTCGACAGCGGTAGTGGTTTCTCCTCCGCTTTTAGGTTCCTCCGCCCCCTCCCGTCGGACGCTGCCGGGTGCCAGCCTTGAAAAAGCCAACTTTATTGTTCCTCAGCCCCACCTCCCGGCGCGGCGCGCGGCCTCAGGATGCACTGAGGCTGAGCGGAGGGAGGCGGCGGCGGGTCGCGGTCCCTCTCCTCTGAGCGCCCGGCCGGAGGTGGGGGGAGTCACGATGTCTGGGAGCCGCCAGGCCGGGTCGGGCTCCGCCGGGACCAGCCCTGGCTCGTCGGCGGCCTCCTCGGTGACTTCCGCCTCCTCGTCCTTGTCCTCTTCCCCGTCGCCCCCTTCCGCGGCGGCCGCGGCGGCGGCGTCCGGCGGGGCGGCCCAGGCCGCGGGCTCGGGCGGCCTCGGGGGCCCGGCGCGGCCTGTGCTGGTGGCGGCCGCCGTGTCCGGCAGCGGCGGCGGGGCGGTGTCCGCCGGCCAGTCTCGGCTCAGCTGCGCGGCCAGGCCCAGCGCCGGCGTAGGAGGGAGCAGCTCCAGCCTCGGCAGCGGCAGCAGGAAGCGACCTCTGCTTCCCCCGCTGTGCAACGGGCTCATCAACTCCTACGAGGACAAAAGCAACGACTTCGTGTGGTGAGTTTGAAGAGCATTGCCCTCCCTTTCGCTGGATGCGGAGTTTCTCTTGTTTGGGCTGGTGGGGTCCGGTGGGAGGGTGGTCTGGTTGGTGCCTTGGCGGTGCCTGCAGACCTTGAGGCTGGTGGTTGATGGGGGGGAAGAAAGCTTGGTAGTCCCGGGGGCTGGGAGGGTACGGGTAGTATAGAGGACGGTGCTGGAGGGGAGGAAGTGAGGGGAGTTGAAGGAATAAATAAGAGGGGGCGAGAAGGAAGGTCAAATAAATGGTTGTGCGTAAAAGGAGAAAGTTGGGCCTTGGATTTTATGGCTATCTGGTGAGTTAGACACCCTGTCGGTCCGTTTTGCTTGTTGGAGTGAATTAAACTCGTAAAGGGAGAGGATTAAGCTTCCCATGGTGGAGTTGGTCAAAATTTGCTTATTGAAAGTATGGTAGATGGTGCTCTAGACTTGGGTTGTCAGTGTTTTAAGGAGAAGTAGTATTTCATGTAAATATCTCTCCTGTGCGTGAGTATCCTCCCACTTCAAAGGGTAGGCCACTTTTAAATCTGCAGTTAAGGCTACTGTGGTCATGAAGTCTGTTCACAAAAAATTCCACTTGTCACTGAATGTCTTGAAAAAGGGAATCACATCTATTAAATATTATCCATGTGTCAGATGTAATTGTATTAGATTTGTATAACACTGTACAGTATACTGGAACTTCTGTTTTGAGAAACGCCAGGTATTACACATTTTGGCATCGTAGTTGGCATCTTGAATGACACACAGTAGCATTCAGTTTTGATACTTGACATAGATGGGTTATCCTTATTAAGCGAGAGATGGAGTTGATTGTTTTACTGAAAGCGTTTTGGGATTTTCATTGGGTTTGGTATCCAGAACCCAATCCAAATGGTAGGATTATGAGAAAGGAATTGCTTTTAGCTAAGTGAGAACTGGCAGGATTTTATGCTTTTCCTCTGGAGGAAATTGTTGATAGACTTCGTATATTAGTGATGTGGGAAGTTGGCCTGCACTGTCATTGTAGGGGAAGTTGATTTACTTCAGGGTTGAGGATGATGTGAATTGTTGTCATTAAATAAGATAGGGCTAGAAGTTGGAACTGTAGGAAATACATTGATTACACTTAGGTGTAGTTCTTTTTTTTCCTTTTTTTCAATGTATTTTCTTTAAAAATTTTATTTATTCTGAGAGAGAGAGGGAGGAAGGGAGGGACAGGGGAGAGGGGAGGGGGGAGAGAGAGGGAGAGAGGGAGGGAGAGAGAGAATTCCAAGCAGGCTCCTTGCTGTCAGCACAGAGCCCTGTGTGGGCCTTGAACTCATGAACAGTGAGATCAGGCCCTGAGCTGATACCAAGAGTCCGCTTTTTAACTGACTGAGCCACCCAGACACCCCTTTCTTTCTTCTTTTAAAAATTTGCTTATTTATTTTGAGAGAGACTCAGTGCAAGTGGGGGAGGGCAGAGAGAGAGAGGGGACAGTGGATCCAGAGTGGGTCCCGTGCTGACAGCAGAGAGCCGGATGATGGGCTTGAACTCACAAACAGTGAGATTGTGACCTTGGCCAAATTCGGGTGCTTAGCCGACTGACCCGCCCAGGCACCCCGAAGAATGAAGAAATGTCTTCATTCGTATTTTTGCTTTGTTCTTAAATTATTCTGGATTCAGAATTCATTCATTTTTCATTGAAACTTGGCTGTAATTGTGACTGTTATTTATAAATAACCAGTTTGTGATTGGGTCTAAGAGGTGTTTGTATCCAGTTGAGAGTGCCATATGATGAAGTATAAGCTAATGAAGCAAAATGAGCATTTTCAGATTTGTCCTTTTAGCCATCATTGGCATTTTAATTTTCAGAAGGCTGAAAGAAAACAAATATGTCAGCATTCATATAGCATTCACATAGAATATGTGAGAAATAAAGGAATCCATCATTCGTTCAAGATACTTATTTGGCACACAGTGTCTGCGAGGCACCACATGGGTTGCATTGTACTTACTATTGGCCATTTTGTGGGGAGTTGGAGAGCCATAGAGTAGTATAAACAGCTGGCATTGATTTTTTTTTTTTCTTTGCGGGGTCTTGGGGAGGTAAGATTATTAAAATTTTTGTTAGTCACCTACTTTTTAACAATTTCAGTCTATTTTCCCAAGTCCTAACCTGGAAGTACCCAGTGAAAGTCTTTAGTTAAAAATTGTGAGGGGTGCCTGGGTGGCTCAGCCGGTTAAACGGCCGACTTCGGCTCAGGTCATGATCTCACGGTCGGTGAGTTCAAGCCCCACGTCGGGCTCTGTGCTGACAGTTCAGAGCCTGGAGCCTGTTTCAGATTCTGTGTCTCCCTCTCTGACCCTCCCCTGTTCATGCTCTGTCTCTCTCCTGTCTCTCTCAAAAATAAATAAACGTTAAAAAAAAAAATTAAAAAAAAATTGTGAATATTTCTGGGGCACTTGGGTGGCTCAGTCAGTTGGGTGGCTCAGTCAGTTGAGTGTCCGACTTTGGCTCAGGTCATGATCTTACGGTTTGTGAGTTCGAGCCCCGTGTCGGGCTCTGTGTTGACAGCTCAGAGCCTGCTTCGGATTCTGTCTGTGTTTCCCTCTCTCTCTGCCCCATCCCCACTCATGCTCTGTCTCTCTCTGTCTTAAAAATAAATGAAACATTTTAAAAAATTGTGAATATTTTACTTTCTAAGAATCTCATTAGTCCATTATTTCTTTTTTGGTGAGGTTGAATATTCAGAAGAATTCATTAATAGGAATCTATCTTCCCAATTCTCAAGCTAGATTTGGTTTGGCCAGCCTTTTGGGGTAGAAGAAAGGGATTAGGATTAGGCGGGGGCCAAGGAATCTTTTTCATTTCTAATTGGCTTTGGGTGGTGGTTCTTGTCTTTTATGCCTCAAGGTCAAACGGAACCAACTGAAATTACTTTATGCTTTTCCATTTAAATGAAGCTAAAGCTTGAATAATGGTGATAATTCCCTATTCATCAGATTTTAAAACCTATGTTTATACTTCACATTTCATTTTATCCTTAAAACAATTCTGTGAAGTTATAGATAACTTCCAGTTTTGCTATAATACTAATATAATTGTATTCCCGTTGAGGTACAGAGAAGTAATTTTGTTTCAGATTGGTCAGCTATGGGTAAAATGAGAACTCAGATCTCCCAGTTCTCAATTTAGTGCTTTATTTGTATTTTTTAGCCTATGGTACTCCCCCCCCCCCCCCCCCCGCTTTTTTTTAAAGATTTTATTTTTAAGGAAATCTCTGCACCCAGCTCGGGGTTTGAATTTACAATCCCAAGATTAAGAGTTGCATACTCCACCAATTGAGCCAGCCAGGCACCCCTAGCCTCCTGGTTCTTAAATGTGGTAGGTTGGAGGGAAACAGCTGTTTCATAGTCACAGGAGATATATTGTTTATCCCTGACCACTCTCTCCTCCTGCCCACGTCCCAAGAAGACATACTAGAATTGGAGGCTTGAGTGGTAGTGTAATTTGCAAAAGCTACCTAGGTGATAATAACCTATCTTTCCCCTTTTTTGAGAACAGTTGATTTAAAATCAAATGCCTGATTTTCAGTAACACACATTGGATTCTCTTGACTTCTATCATATTTGAAAGTAAGTTTACATTTAATTGCACAATTGATGAACATTTTAGGAATTTATGGTTTTCATGTAAATATTTTTTTCATACAAAGGATTGAAAGTATTAAGTTGTAGAGAATTTTTTTTTAAGTTATTTATTTATTTTTTGTAAGATTAAAGAGCACAAATGGGGTAGGGGCAGAGAGAGAGGGAGAGAGAATTTCAGGCAGGCTCCACACTGGTACCATGCAGAGCCTGATGCTGGACTCAAGCTCAAAAACCATGAGATCATGACCTAAGCAGAAATCAAGAGTCAGACACTTAACCAACTGAACCACCTAGGTGCCCCAAGTTGAAGATAATTCTAATAGTGTATTGTAGTTGGAGAATCTGTAGTACAGGAGAGGGTAGTATTTAGCTGAAGTTGGGTAAATCTTTAACATTCAAAGGAAGTCTTTGTTATTTTGATTTTTCTAATTTTTCTTACATGAGCCATTTAAATTGATGAATCTAAGATGACTTCTTTCTTCTATCACATTACTGTTGCTTCTTCATTAGCTTTTCCAACTACCTAAATTCCTTTTTCTACCTCTGCAGGTCTCAGTTATTCTCTAAGTTGAGGCAGAAATAAATATTTTCTTTTTTATTTATTTTTCTAATGTTTATTTTTGAGAGAGAGAGAGCGAGAGACTGAGTGAGGTAGGGGCAGAAAGAGAGAGAGAGAGAGAGGGAGAGAGAGAATCTGAAACAGGCTCCAGGCTTGAAGCTGTCAGTACAGAGCCTGACACCAGGCTTGAACTCAGGAACGGTGAGATCATGACCTAGGCGGAAGTCGGATGCTTAACCGACGGAGCCACCCAGGCGCCCCAGAAATAAGTATTTTCAAGTAGATAGTAAGCCCCTTGTAGGAAGGTTAATTCTGATCACCTGCCTAATAGAAAATAGGTAGGATCTACATTGAATAGATCTACTCTTTAATAAATATGTGACTGCCTCTCTTGTGTCATGCTGTTAATAATAGACCGTCCTGAAGGAGCTCATGATTTAATGCAGAGAGAGAGACTTTTAGTCATATAATTATAGTTTCATATCCTGACATCGTTGCTTCTTCTTAGTACCATGGCGGACGTCATTCTTTTGAATTTTTTTTTTTTTCAACGTTTATTTATTTTTGGGACAGAGAGAGACAGAGCATGAACGGGGGAGGGGCAGAGAGAGAGGGAGACACAGAATCAGAAACAGGCTCCAGGCTCTGAGCCATCAGCCCAGAGCCCGACGCGGGGCTCGAACTCACGGACCGCGAGATCGTGACCTGGCTGAAGTCGGACGCTTAACCGACTGTGCCACCCAGGCGCCCCGTCTTTTGAATTTACATGTATGTCGGAGTCCTCAACATAGCACTATAGGAAGCCATT